ACTTGAAAGAAAGGCCTGAGCCCCCCTCTCTCTGCTGCCGTTGGTGCACCACTCTCGGCACTTCGTGCCCACCCAGGGCTTGCGGGGCGGGAACTTTTGGTCTAAGAGGAATCTCTATCCGTATCCAATTTTGGACCTCGGCCAGCCCCCGGCAGAGCGGCGTGCCAGCCTGCGAATGACTGCCCTTCCCTGCCGGAAAGAAAGGCCTGAGCCTGCTCTCTCACCTGCAGTTTGTGCACCACTCTTGGCACTTCGAGCCCTGCCAGGGCTTGCGGGGTGGGCACCTTTGCTCTGGGAAGAATATTCGTCCGTATGCAATTTTGGCCATCAGCCGGTCCCCGGTCATGCGGCGAGCCGGCCTGTGAACGACTGCCCTTCCCACCCGGAAAGAAAGGCCTGAGCCTGCTCTCTCACCTGCCGTTGGTGCGACACTCTCCACACTACGTGCCCAGCCAGGGCTTGCGGGGCAGACCCCTTTGGTCTAAGAGGAATCTTCGTCCGTATTCAATTTTAAACCTCAGTTGGACCCCGGCGCTGCGGCGCGCCGGCCTGGCATCGACAGCCCTTCCCGCCCGGAAAGAAAGACCTGAGCCCCCCTCTCACACCGGCCGTTGTTGCGCCACTCTCAGCACTACGTGCCAAGCCAGGGCATGCGGGGCGGGCACATTTTTTCTGGGGTGAATCTTCGTCCGTATCCCATATCGGAACTCAGCCGGCCCCCGGCGGCGCGGTGTGCTGGTCTGCGAACGACTGCCCTTCCCGGCTGGAAAGAAAGGCCTGAGACCCCCTCTCTCACCTACCATTGGTGTGCCACTCTCGGCACTACGCACCCTGCCAGGGCTCGAGGGGCGGGCACCTTTGGTCTGGGAGGAATCTTCGTCCGTATCCAATTTTCGCCCTTGGCCGGCCCCCACTAGCACAGCGCTCTGGCCTGAAAACCACTGCCCTTCCCAAGCGGAAAGAAAGGCCTGAGACCCCCTCTCTCACCTGCCGTTGGTACGCCACTCTCGGCACTACGCGCCCAACCGGGGCTTGCGGGGCAGGTACCTTTGGACTGGGAGGAATCTTCGTCTCTATCCAATTTTGGCCCTCGACCGGTCCGCAGCAGCACTGTGCGCTGGCCTGCAAACGACTGCCCTTCCCAGCTGGAAAGAAAGGCCTGAGCCCCCCTCTCTCACCTGCCGTTGGTGCGCCACTCTCGGCACTATGTGCCCAGCCAGGGCTCGAGGGGCGGGCACCTTTGGTCTGGGAGGAATCTTGGTCCGTATTCAATTTTGGACCTCGGTTGGACCCCGGCGCTGCGGCGCGCCGGCCTAGCATCGACAGCCCTTCCCACCCGGAAAGAAAGGCCTGAGCCCCCCTCTTTCACCGGCCGTTGTTGCGCCACTCTCGGCACTACATGCCAAGCAAGGGCTTCCGGGGCGGGCACCTTTGGTCGAAGAGGAATCTTCGTCCATATGCAATTTTGGCCCTTGGCCGGCCCCAGGCAACGCGGTGTGCCAGGCTGCAATCGACTTCCCTTACCGCCGGGAAAAAAAGGCCTGAGATCCCCTCTCTAACCTGCCGTTGGTGCACCACTCTCGGCACTACGCACCCAGCCAGGGCTCGAGGGGCGGGAACTTTTGGTCTAAGAGGAATCCCTGTCCATATCCAATTTGGTCCTCGGCCGGCTCCCGGCCGTGCGACGCGCTGTCCGGCAAACGACTGCCCTTCCTGGCTGGAAAGAAAAGCCTGAGCCGCCCTCTCTCACCTGCCCTTGGTGCGCCACTCTCAGCACTATGCACCCAGCCAGGACTTGTGGGGTGGGAACCTTTGGTCTGGGAGGAATCTTCGTCTCTATCCAATTTTGGCCCTCAGCCGGTCCCTGGCGACGCGGTGCGCCGGCCTGCCAACCTCTGCCCTTTCTGGCCAGAAAGAAAGGCCTGAGCCCCCCTCTCTCACCTGTTGTTGTTGCACCACTCTCGGCATTTCGCACCCAGCCCGGGTTTGAGGGGTGGGAACCTTTGTTCTGGGAGGAATCTTCGTCAGTATCCAATTTTGGCCCTCGGCCAGTCCCCGGCGGCGCGGCGCACCGGTCTGCGAACGACTGCTCTTCCCGCCCAGAAAGAAAGGCTTGAGCCCCCCTCTCTCACCTGCTGTTGGTACGCCACTCTCGGCACTATGTGCCCAGCTAGGGCTTGGGGGACGGGCACCTTTAGTCTAGGAGGAATCGGTGTCTGTATCCAATTCTGGACCTCGGCTGGCCCCTGGCGCTGCGGCGTGCCAGCCTACCTAGGACTGTACTTCCCGTCCAGAAAGAAAAGCCTGAGCCCCCCTCTCTCACCTGCCGTTGGTGCGCCACTCTCGGCACTACGCGCCCAACCAGGGTTTGCCGGGCTGGCACCTTTTGTCTGGGAGGAATCTTCGTCCGTATCCAATTTTGGCCCTTGGACAAACCCCAGTTGCGCGGCGCACCGCCCTGCGAATGACTAGCCTTCCCGCCCAGAAAGAAAGGCCTGAGCCTTCCCCCATCACCTGCCGTTCGTGCGCCACGCTCGGCACTACGCGCCCAGCCAGGGCTTGCGGGCGGGCACCTTTGGTCTAGGAGGAATCTTTTTCCGTATTTGATTTTGGCCTTCGGCCGGCCCCCGGCGGAGTGGCCCGCCGGCCTGCGAACAACTGCCCTTCCCGCCCAGAAAGAAAGGCCTGAGCCCCCCTCTCTTACCTGCCGTTGGTGTGACATTCTCGGCACTACGCGCCCAGCCAGGGCTTGGGGGGCAGGAACCTCTTGTCTGAGAGTAATCTTCGTCTGTATCCAATTTTGGCCCTCGGCTGGCCCCCGGCAGTGCGGCACGCCAGCCTGCAAACAACTGCCCTTCCTGGCCAGAAAGAAAGGCCTGAGTCCCCCTCTCTCACCTGCTGTTTGTGCACCCCTTTCGGCACTACGTGCCCCCTCTCTGGATAATAAAAAACAAAAATGCAAAAGATAAAGGGCTTCTATGCTTAAAAATTGGCATCTTTCACCCAACACCTAATACAACCTTGTTCCTAGGCTGCTTCAACTTTTCTCAGTCTGGGTACATCGTTTCCACTTATCCCGGGGAAAAAAAAGAAAAAAAGTGTTAGTCAGGTCACCCACGGGGTCACTGAGACCTTAGCCATTTAAAAGAACTCATTTACCCTGAGCAAATGAGAACTCTGACCGCAGCATATGAGAAGACAAATGACAACCCAGCTTCAAGGCCCTGCTATCCAAGTGCCATCAGCTCCACAACGCTCAGCTCTAATGATTGCACATGAGTTACGTACACCTGCTCCATCCAGCAGGACTGTACAGTCATCGGCTCGACTGTCTAAGGTAACTGACATGTTGGCGTGAGACACTGAGCAATATTCCATCTACCCACTGATCCACATGGCAGGGCAGAGCAGCTCCAGGCTGATCCCAAGTGAGACATCCCGTACCTGTGACAACACAGACCGTGTGACACAATTAAGAGACGAACCTCACTTTGACAAGATTCAATTGCAAGAATGGAGATGCTGTGGAATACCATGACCTACGGGACTACCATCATAACGTGACTAGGCTCAAAGGATCCTGACAAATAAAGACGATAACAAGATGACCGGTCAGAAGAAGGGTCCATCAAAACCCTGAAGATGGATCCGCGATGTCGCCGCGTTCGGAAGCTAAGAACGGAACGATGCGGAAAACGAGTCCTCCTACTTTAAGATGGATGGCTGCGGAGCACCGCTGATGAATGGCGCAGAATGAGACCTTAAAAGAGGTCTGACCATAAAAGTCAGAGATGGGATACCAAAGAAGGCCTGAACCTGCAAATGAAGCGACTGACAACTTCTCAGCTACACAGAGAAGACCTTCAAGAACCTAAGGATGATGCCTGATGCTTCCCATAAGCCCCTTAAGGGCAAGATGCAAAAACCCTAAGGACACAAAACACTGACGAGACGAAGGACGTGACACAGACTGGAACTGCTCTGCCCTGCACAGGTGAATCCAATGATACAAGGTAAGCCCTTCCTTTGATGCGTCCAAATAACCTGTAATAGGATACCCATTGCACCAAACTAATTTCAAAAATCCCTCTGGGTGATGCACATACTTGGACCAACTCCCAACCCCTCTCTGGGTCTTTGCCCTGCATTTATCTTTCCGAGAGCCGGGGATGCGAATCCATCTCTGATGCAAAGGAGGGGTACCTGGGCTGGCTCAGAGGTTCCTGCCATCGTGAGAGTACTCGGAGTCAACTACGAGAAAGAAAACCATACACAATGTCTGAGTAGTGTGGCACGTGGCTCCAACCCCAATGATCCCTCTACTCACTGTCACCGAGGCAGGTCCTCAGGTCACTGGCTCTGACCGGAGTCACATGCTGTGGCTGTCATCTTCCGGGATACCTGAGCGAGTGAGAGACAAAATTAGAGGGCATTTCTAAAGCTGCAGTGGATCCCTGCTCCTCCTGCTGTCTCCCCGACTCGCCTCCAATGCCCGGACGCTCCCAAAGGTTACCTGGATGGCACCTGCGACCACTAAAGCTCAGCGCCTCATGACTCATCCTTTTAATACTTGGAGATTACCTACAAGGACAGCTCGAGAGGACCAAATCGTGTCTGTCACCTCATTGTGAGTTGGCTTCAGCCCTGTGAGGCTGCATATGTCTCCTGCAAAAAAAACCCCAGAGGCAAATGCCAGTACTGAGATACTGCCCAAGAGTATGCTGTTCCCATGGCAGTTTCTGTCTGACACCCCTTGACCGTGACCTCTTACAGGCAGGGTCCCCGTCACATTGGACTGCATGTTAGAAGTCTGCCTGTAAAACAAAAAACCAAGTATGTACGCAGATTCACCAGAAGTACACCGCCTGCAAAAAAGCATCCAGTTCTGTCCTGCAGTCACTGCTCACCTTGCTCACTGGGCTCACCTTCCCTCTGGTGCCTATTGTCTGCTGGGCCGGGGGCTCCGCATCTTAAAAAAAAACCCAAAAAAATAAAACTAAACCACCAAACCATCCAAAGGCAGAAAAATCATGCCTTGGCTCTGACCTCACATGACAACCCACCTTCTGATTGTGCTCCTCCGGCCTCTTCTGTTTATCTCTGCTTTACATCCAGTCCCTCTGACGCTGTAGAGAAATGAGTTAGCAAAGTCAGCCATATAGATGGAGGGACCTTAACTGCTGCCCAATTATCACTTCTCTTTAGACAACCCGTCTGGGGTCCAAAGACAACCTGCACAAACAAACACCGACCTAACTTTAAGGCCCTGCTGTACCGCTCCCATCATCTCTGGAAAAGCTCTCGTGACTGCATGCACGCTGCAGGTAGGGGCTGCCTCCTGGAGGACTGGAGAACTGCTGCCGTGAGTGGTTAAACCTATCGACAGGTTAACTGTAAAGTCTCCTTTCTACTCCACCTACCCCCAAGTCTACACTGCAGGGCAGAGCAGTTCCAGGCCGAACACAAACTCCAACGACACATTTCCAGACAAGTGCTGTGGTGCGACGAGGAGAGAGAACTCCGAGAAAGGAACAACTGCCAAAATGGATGTGCTGCCACACGAGAAGACGGAGGATACGGCAAGACTGAATGGAGGAGGCTCTGAGGAGCCCGAAAAGACACTCTAACAGAATGTCCTGTGACAAGAACTGCCTACAAAATTGCTAAGATGGATGGGAGACAATGCTACATTCAAAACCTTCTTAGATTCTCACAAGTCCGGGGTGGTTACAAGAGATGACTGCACGGCACAGCCACCGATACAACCTGTAAGGAGGCTGTAAAAGACATCTGACCTGACACTTCTCAGATGTGATTCCGATGCACGTCCAAGCTAGCGAGCCAAAGAATGGATGGTATGGGAACTGGACTGGGCAGTGCAGAGGTTCAAGACCCTAGGAATGATGCCTTGACATCTCCGATAAGACCTTTGAGGGCAGAAGGCAAAGACACGATGATTGTGAATTGTAAGAAACGAAACACAGACCGGACAAAGGACATGACACAGACCTGAACGGCTCTGCCCTGCACAACCTACTCCAGTGATGAAAAGTAAACTGCTCCTCCTATGTGTGCCAAGGGCCAGTTAGGGTAGACCCTTTCCCCTATGCTAATTTGAAAATCCCTACCTCCTAATCATAAAATTGGACCCAGCTCTCATCCCCTCTCCAGGTGGTAGTCCTCCACTTATCTTTCCCATAGTCGGGGATGTGAATCCATCTTCGATGGGAAGGAAGGATGCCTGGCTGGCTCAGAGGGTCCTGTGATTGCTGACTCAGTTGGCTATGAGAAAGAAAACCGAAACTGACGCAAGAGTTCGGCAGCACATGGGCGATAACCCCACAATTGGCTACTCACCGTCCCCTAAGCTGAGAGGTTCTTGGGCCACTGGCTCCGACCTGAGTCAGAGGCTGCTGCCATCACCGTGTGCCGTACCTAGGTGAGTGAGAAAAAAAGTTACATGGTGTTTCTGAAAGTACAGGAGACCCCAGCACCTCCTCGCTACCTCCCAGACTCAACTTCAATGCTCCTCCTTTGCCAAAGGCAGGCCGGATGGCACCTGCAACCAGAAAAGGTCGAGCCTTAATTGATGAGCTTTGTAGTACTAGGAGACTACTGACGAGGACAGCTGAAGACCATCAAACCTAATTGGCAGGTGGCTCCAGCCCTCTGAGGCTGCACACATTCTCTGCAGAACAAAAAACCAAAGGCAAATGTACATACTGAGATACTGCCTGAAGGGATGGCTTTCCTGTGGTAGCTCCTACCTACTTATCTCTCATCAACAGTGACCTTTTACTGGCAGGGTCCCTGAAGCATTGGACTGTCTGTTAGAAGGTGGCAGACCCCCTGGAAAACACAAGAAACAAAGCATGTGCACAGATTCACCACAACACCTGTAGAAGACCATCTACTTCTGTCGTGGAGTCGATGCTCACCTTGCTCAGCGGTACTCACCCGGATCACCTCCCCTCCGGTGCCTAGAGCCTCCTGGGCCGAGGGCTCTGCATCTGAAAACAAAGAAAAAACAAACTAAAACAAGAAAATCCTTAACACATCAAGTAAACATGGAGCCAAAAGCCACATCTTTGTGCTGACGTCAGGTGATGACCCACCTTCCTGCTCTGCTCCTCTGGCCTCTGTTCTGTTCAACTCTGCTTTACACCCTGTCCCTCTGACATGGTAAAGAAACCCTAACCAAAGTCACCCATATAGACGGGGAGAGCTGAAAGAGTCTCCCTTCTCTTTAGGTAAACCACCCAGAGTCACTGCCTGCAGCCAAAGACTGCAGCTGTAATCGCACGGAATATCTGGGTGAACGAGAGACAAACTTAAGTGGCACATCTGAAAAGTCAGTGAATGCCTTCACAGGCATTTAGGGGGCTCTTTCCAGACACTGACTACTGGGATCTTACTGAGTATGGTGACTATAACCTGGGCTGGATTACTAGAGTGGCCATGGCCTCAACCCTATATTAGGCATTCTGGTTCTATGGGAAAAGATTTTTCAGGAGATTACAAATGGAACTAATTTTTGTGTTTGTAACCTTACTAAAATAATAGGCTGTGATTTTAACTATACAATTCCAATAACTACTGGGCAATTAACTGAAAATGACTATTTGTTGTATCGTGATGTACCTAAATTACAAATAGGGATGGATATCAGTCTCTTCCAGAAGATGCTTGAACACCCAGATACAGAAAAGATAGACCAAGCAGGAGAACATCATCAGTGGGATATTTTTCTGGGATACTCCCCCACACCTTCTCAAGTGTTCCATTTCCCAATACATCCAATCTTAGTATTGGTGAGTGCCGTTGCTTTGTTATCATTACTCAATTTATGGCTGTGGTATAAATTAAGTACCATAATCAAAAGAGTGCAGATTGAGAGTAATGAAGTAATTAATTATTATGAGTAATTAAGCACGAGCTGGCTTGTTCCCAACATTGAATAAACAAATACCTTGCTGTTTAAAGATACAAAAGTCTCCGAGCAGTTTTTCGGACCTGGTTTTTCGGCATCACAGCCCAACTATTACCAAACACTGCCACTATAACCCCTAAACCGTCATCCAGTGCCAGATTTGGACACCTCTCGAACACCTGCAGCAACGGTGACTCCACCACCTCCCTGGGCTACCTATTCCAACACGTGACCACCCAATTTTTTCCTAATCTCTAATCCGAATCTCCCCGCTCTCGTTGAAGGCCATTTCCCCTGGTCCTCACTGCAGGACAGCGGCTCTTTCCCGGTTTAAACATCGGCACAGCCACCGAACCGGGTGCGGGTCCTTGGAAGCGCTTCCTGATTCTCGTCACTATCTCACTCCACATCCCCCGTCGTGAAGCGCCCCGGGAGCCCCGGGGGCTCAGCCCAGCACCGCGGGAGGGTCCCCGCATCCCCGGGGCTCCCTCCGGGCCCTCCCGCACCTCGTTCCGGTACCGCCAGGCTCACCCTTGTCCCGCAGGCAGGACGCGGTCATACCGCACTGCCCCAGCCCGCACCGAGCCGCTCCAGCCTGCGCCACTCCAATGCCCGCCGCTCAAACTCCCACCGCTCTAGCCCCCACCGCTCCAGTCCCCGCCGCTCCAGCCCTTCCTGAGCCGCTCCAGCCCTCCCCGAGCCGCTCCAGCCTGCTCCTCTCCAGCCCGCAGCCGGGACTTCTGGTCCCGACGCATCTAGTCTGGGAGGAATCCTCGACCGTATCCGATTTTGGCCCACGACCGGCGCACCAGCCTGCAAACGACGGCCCTTTTCGCCCAGAAGGAGGGGCCTGACCCTCCTGCTCTCGCCTGCCCTTTGTGCGCCTCACTCAGCTCTACGCGCGCAGTCGGTGCTCCCGGCACTGGCGCCTCCGGTCTGGGACGAATCCTCGACCGTATCCGATTTTTGCCCCCAGCCAGCACGACGACCCGCAACCGACGGCCCTTTTTGCCCAGAAGGAGGGGCCTGACCCTCCGGCTCTCGCCTGCCCTTTGCGCGCCTCGCTCGGCTCTACGTGCGCAGCCGGGGCTCCTGGCTCAGGCGCCTCCGACATGGAAGGAATCTTCGACCGAATCCGATTTTGGACCTCGGCCAGCACCGGACCGACAAAGGCGCCCGCCCGCGAACGACAGACATTTTTCCCCAGAAGGAGGGGCCTGACCCACCAGCTCTCGCCTGCCCTTTTTTGCGCCTCGCTCAGGTCTATGTGCGCAGATGGAGTTCCCGCTCCCCTCGACTACGGTCCGGGATGAATGCTAGATCGTATCCGATTTTAGACCACAGCCGGTGTACTGGCCCATGAACGACGGCCCTTTTTGCCCAGAAGAAGGGGCCTGACCCTCCGGTTCAAGCCTGCCCTTTGTGCGCCTCACTCAGCACTACGCGCACAGCCAGGGCTCCCGGCCCCGGTGCCTCCGGTGTGGGATGAATCCTCGACCATTTCCGATTTTGGCCTCAGGCCGGCTCCAGGACGGCCGGCGGACCGGCCAGCGAACGACGGCCCTTTTCACCCAGAAGGAGGGCCCTAACCCTCCGGCTCTCGCCTGCCCTTTGAGCGCCTCGCTGAGCTATACGCGCCCAGACAGGTCTCCCGGTCCCGGTGCCTCCAGCCTTGGAGGAATCCTCGACCGTATCCCACATTGTCCCTCGGCCAGCCCCGGGACGCCAGGACGCCTGCCCGCGAACGACCGCCCATTTTGCCCAGAAGGGTGGGCCTGACCCTCCATATCTCGCCTGCCCTTTGTGCGCCTCACTCAGCTCTACGCGCGCAGACAAGGTTCCCGACCCCAGCGCCTCTGTTCTGGGAGGAATCCTCGACCATTTCCAATTTTGGACCTCAGGCAGCTCAGGAAAGCCAGGACGCCTGCCCGCGAATGACGACCCTTTTTGCCCAGAAAGAGGGGCCTGACCTTTTGGCTCTTGCCTACCCTTTGTGCGCCTCGCTCGGCTCTGCGCGCGCAGATGGGGCTCCTGGCCTCCTCGCCTCCGGTCTGGTAGGAATCCTTGACCTTTTCCGATTTTGGACCTCAGCTAGCCCCGGCCCGCCCATGGCGTCTGCCTGCAAACGACGGCCTTTTTTGCCCAGAAGAAGGAACCTGACCCTCCGGCTCTCGCCTGCCCTCTGTGCGCCTTGCTCAGTTCTACGCGCGCAGACAGGGCTACCAGCCCCGGCGTCTCCTGTCTGGGAGGAATCCTCGACCGTATTCAGTTATAGTCCCCGGACGACTGGCGCGCCGGCCTGTAAACGACAGCCCTTTTTGCCCAGAAGGAGGGACCTGACCCTCCGCCTCTCGCCTGCCCT